GGAAGTTGAACACGCAGAGCCCGTCCCTGTACCAACTGAAGCAGCTTGCCAGCAAAGCCAGACGACGCACTTGATTCCCGCACCGCTCCGCCATCGCTACGGTCTGTTCCATGAGCATGAGTGGCAGCAACCACTTCCTCCGGTGGCGGCTCTATGCTCAGATAGTCGTTGATCCGCCAGGTTCTGTTGTCCCGAGCAGCCGTCTCCAGCAATCGCTCACTTTCGGAGGCTAGGCAATGCCACACCTCCGCACCACCCAGACATTGTGCTATAATTCTGCCCAGACTGCGGGGTCTCCAACTCTCTTGAGTGATGGCCAGGACGGAGGAACCGGCTATGATGATGCACTGCACCAAGAACACACGCCACATACTGTATTCTCTTCTCCCGCGAGCTTCTTTGAGCGAACGGAACGCAACGCTGTTTGAACTTCAAATAGCCCAAGATGCTGCTCTGTCTCATTATTTATAGTGCCTCCCCGAGGGAGCTGCTCTCCGCCCTTTCGTGGGGGGTGGAGTGCCAATTAACATGCTTGTCAAAGCACGACACTGTCGAGCAGAGCACTTTTGATAGGAATCGAATAAGAAAAGTTTTCGGCAGAAGGCCTCTCGATGGCAGCTTGCTTGCTGAACCTTGACGCAAACGAAAACTGAATCCGAACAGAACACAGCTTTTTGTATAAGTTAACTTTCATTTTTGGAAAGCACTCACAGCGTTTTAGCCTAGTTGTAACTTAGCTAATATTAGGGCTAATTGGGCTAAGAAATAACTTAAGTATTCCCTACAGCGATCGCACGTCCACGGCCTGCCAGCCCTGCATGCCTGCGGAGACGCTGGCGGTGTGGAAGTTTCGCATTAAGGTGTCCGCCGAGCCGGCAGCCTCTTGCTCCACACTGGCCGCCAGGAGCTTATTGCTCGGCCTGCGCTGGTGTTCAAAGTCATAGAAGCGATCTTCGGTGGGTGGATGAGGCTTAGGGGCAGGCGACGAAGTCTCTGCGGCACGGGGCTGCTCGAAACGTACTTTGCGCTCGCTTCGACGATATGGTGACGCCTCGTGCACATCGTACTGCTGCTGGTGCTGATGATGGAGCTCGTCCCCATGGCCAAAGACCGTCGTCTTACCGGGAAAGTGGCCAACAGGTCGATTTCCATGGAATCCAAAGTTCGAACCTCCTCCAAAACTGCCGAAGCCGCCAAGACCGCCACCCAAGCCACCCAAGCCACCCAAGCCACCCAAGCCACCCAAAGAGCTGACGACACCGCCCAAGCCCAGAAAGCTGCTGACATAGACCGCCAGCTTAACCAAGAACAGAGACTTCTTCAGCAGCAAGCAGATCCCAGCAAATAGCAGAGGCACCAGAGCCACCAGATTGAACTTCAAGCCCAGCAGAAAGGGCAAAAGATACTGCTTGGCCAACAGACGACCTAAGACAAAGGAGTCCACAAATATAAAGTAAAACTTTTGAATTATTATCCAAATTGAGATTCTCTTACCAGCTGTGGGATCTTCGTATCCAAATTGTCGCTCCCCCTGCACTCCTGCCCCATCTAGAACAAACTCAGCCACACTATTGGCATCCGTGGTGGGTCCTATTTTGAACATCAGTCCCGGATAAAGACTATCCATGTGCCACTCTAGACTCCGCTGCCCCATGACGGCACCAGCGTTCTCGAGTATACCTCGGAAGTCGACCGGATCGGTGTCCAGCACATTGGCCAGTGATCTCCCTGCTGCAGCAGAGTCACTCTTCACCGTCAAAAAATCTTCCACAAAACTAACATTATCACTCTCCTCGACACGCTGTATGAAGTTAAGGGCTGAGCGTCCTAGGCACTCGGTCAGTCTTGGCCGCTGGCCACTGGCTCCACGGACACACTGTTTGAACTGTTGCAGCTCCTCGGATCCAACGTGGGAGAAGTCACTGCCACTGACACTACCAGCAATTCCTCTAAGCTGGAACAACAATACACAGCAAGCTAGTAGCAACATGTTGGTCAAAGGCTTGAATCTTAACTGAGCCCGATGGCCGGCTGACCCCTGGGTTTTATATCTTCCGGACCTCATCTAGTTATACAATAATCAGTTTTCAGTCTCAGCCAAATTTACTCCCCATTCAGTTCACTCACATTTTTTTTTGCACATGGCCCAATAACGGAAATTGTTTTACATCAACGCCAAGTGGTCGGTCGGCTCTTCGTCTTCTTCTGATCGTCTCTGTTGTTGTTGTTGTTGTTGTTCCGAGCCGGCATGGTCATGGTCAGTGCACACAACGACCCACAGCTGCGTCGACTTGTGGCCAATTTTTCGCACATCTCGACCATTATGCAATGGAGTTATTCCACAAAAATTATGAAATAGTAGGCGCCACAGGTCGGACCGAACCCCTTTGGAAAATTCCCAATTACCATTGCTAATCCCCGCCTATTAAACAAACGGGGGCGTTCACAGAATTACCAGAAATGTTCCATCATTTACACCTTAAAACACCTGAAAATTGCTGCAAGCTAAAAGCAAATAAACAAACAAAAGGAAAAGAGGCAAAAGCTTAGCCGAAAATCTTAGTTATTATGCTACTATACACTGCCAGAGAAAAAAGGCCTGAGAATCGAATATTTCGACTTAGATTTGAAAATGTATTACTTCGAGAGTGGAAATTGTAAAATCAATATTTTCATATATGTATGTATTAAATATATTTCCTACAAAATTAAAGACTTCTTTTTATATTTTCGAGTGTTTTTTATATTTATAATAAATATGGGCCGTATGAAAAAGACTTTTTAGTACATTTATGTTTAAATCAAAGTGAATTCTACTTAATTTCGCTAGGTTCGTATTTATAAACTGGATATTTAATTTAAGTATGGATGTGTTGAAATTTTCTATGCTAGTTTTCGCTAAGTGTACGCTGCTATATATGTATTACTATCATTCAGTTAAAATCAAAGTTAAAGGACCAACTTAATAATAAATTTTGATATTAGAAAGTTCCTGTAAAATATATTTTTAGAATGGAAATGCTTGCACCTTTGTCTACTGCGTGGTAAAAGTCGCAAGCAAAGGGTAGGTATAAAAAATAATACACTTCGAAATATAATACACCGAAGAGACTGAGAGCAAAAAGGCTTGCCTACTTTCGGGCTGTCAATGTGAAAGCTGAGTGAAAAGTTTGGTGTTGCCAGCGCGTCAAGCACGTTGGACGGAAACCACAAACAGCGTGGTCTGGGAAGGTAAGGTTGTGTTGTTGAGGGTGGAGAAATTTGAGACACCGCCCAGACAAAAAGTGTCTGACACCTAGACGCCATTTCGAGAGGTGGCGCGGTGCCCTTCCTCTGCCTTTTCCACTAATGAAAAAACAGACAAACCGAGCGCGAAAACTTTTCATGGCCGTCCTTTTCTTCTTCCGACTTGATTTGGCTATTCGAAGGATTTTCTGTGTTAGATTTATGGTTTAATGTTTTCGGTTGACGGGAAAACTTTTGTAATTTCTGCCATTTCGAAAGTGTGGCAAAAGTTCGAGGTTTTGTATACAAAAGTCTGAGCTGAGAATAAAGATGATACGAGATGGGGCTGAGGCTGATGTCTGAAGAGCAGTGTGCTCGCTGCTCAATAAATTTCCAGTTGTAATTCACGCAGAGACAAAAAAGAAATTGTATTAATAAACACTTTCACCGACAATACTTGAAATTCACGGCCAGTTGCTGCTGGGCTGCAGCAGGCAACCGAACATTGTTCACAAATAGTTGAGAAGATATACGAGCCAGTCGGCAGACTTTTGGCTGTTTTGGCCATTTATATGCCAAATGCCAACGGCCATAAATTGCAGCTCGGGGCGTGCTCCCCAGTCCCCAGTCCCCAGAGCGAGTGCAGGCCCCGTACTCTCCGCCCATGTCCATCGCCCATGTCCATCTCATTGACATTGTGCACACACCCCATCGCACAGAGCGTCGGGGATCGGGGATCGGGCATCGGCGGTAAATGGGCGTACGTGTTGCACGTTGCAAATGCAAAAAGGAGGTCGCAACTTTCATTAGATTTTTCGAGTGTGCTTTCTGGAGCGACATTGGATACGATACCCGAGACGGGGGGTGCGTGGGCAGAGTAGCAGGAAGACACTCCCAGCCGGCCGGCTGGCCATGTGGGATGGCACTAACTGGCTGAACGTCTTCTCTGGCTCTGGCATTGGCTTTGCATCTCTGTATCTGCCTCCGAATGTGTTTCTGTTTCTGAATGTGGCCTGGCTACGCCTCGGTGGCTCCAGTGAAATTTGCCGTTTCTTTTGCTCTGCACCGGCCGCGGCCATGGTTTTGTATGTCGCACACATGCAATTGATATCACTGGCCTCGATTGCCATACTTGGTGAAAGAGTGAAAGCATTTCGCTTGAAAAATGCTGGACACCAGTTGCGTATGTGCAACATTTCAAATATAAAATAGCGTTTCGAGATAAATGCAGGATTTCTTTTATTGATTTTTGATTTCTCATTAGACTGGTTAGGGGGTGATAAAGAGGTGGAAGTGAGGCGAAGGGCGAGGACTGGCTGGCTAGACTCTTCCTGAGTGGCCTTCGCCTGGCAGTAGTTCAGAGATTAAATAGTTATGTTTAGATTAGTTTAGTTTTAGTTAGGAGTTGAGTTAAGTTAAGCATAAAGCGTAAAGCGTTAAAATAGTCAATAGTAAAGCTCTGAGTATTAATACAAAAGTTACAGTCATTTGTGATGTGAGTTGTTTAAGATTATAGTTTAAGGTAAAGGCCGCGCAAAGGCCCCCAAGAAACAGAGCCCCGAACCGACTCCTCGACCTCCTCAGCCTCCTTAGCCCCCAAATTTGAACTTATTCCCTATGGGTATTTGGACTTATTTTGGACAATTTCCTCTCTCATGTAACAGTTGCAGATGATGGCGCCTTATGTGTAAGCTTGGCATGAACTATGCTATACAAATAAATTAAATAAATAGAATAAATTAAACATCGAGCCTTCGAAGCTCTACTCTCCATTCAGCTTTCTCCAAGCGGTCTCTCTCCTTTCCCATATTCGCCTTCTATTGCACTGAATATTGCTTTTTATGATGCTCCAGAATTGGTTTTTGGCTATTTGCTTATTGCTTATACGCCGCGTAGGCCAGGTTCTGTGCTTCGCCGCCGCCGGGCAGGGCCCGTCCGTAGCTGTGCTCGTGCTCGTAGTGCGGATGCGCCACCACCTCGTAGTTCTCCTTCTTGGACTCCAGCAGCTTCTTCAGGCCGATGATGCCCGACAGCAAGAGGGCGATCTTGCCAATGACCAGAGCCTTGAATGAGATCAGTGCCAGGAAGCCAATGGCCAAGGGCAGAAGGGCGGCCATCTTCAGCTTGAACAACATCAGCAGGGGCATCAGGTACTTCTTCTTCTCCTTCTTCTTGCCACGCGCTAAAGACAAAAAGATACACATACAGATATAGATACATTTGCATGATTTACTTTCGCTTGATTCAAAGTCGTACGAGTATACGCTGACCGCTAATTAGCAACTGGAGCACACAGATAATTAATAAGCGAACAGGATCGGCAGCTTTCTATGTGGCTGGATAGCTGGCTGCGTTTAGAAATCGGAAATTGCAGCAGTCAGCGAAGAGCGTTGATCGCGGATCGCGGATCACGGATCACGGATCGTAGAAAAGAAAGTAAGCCTAACTAACTGGCTAACTAAAGTGCAATTAATAACAGCATCAGCCAACGAGTTGCCTGAGCCTGAGTCTCGGTCTGAGACTGAGACTGGGACTTGTATTGGTATTGGTACTGTCAATGCACCGCTAGATGGTTAGATTGTTTGGAATCAGCCAGCAGGATGACCTCAATGTGACTAGAATTTAACAGTGAAAACAGGATTTGTTCCAAGACTGGGACTGGCACTGGGACTGCCATCTGCCTGGTCGTAAACTGGTAGTTGCATTAGTAGCCCAAATAGGTAACATGTTCACTAACCAGAATGGCCATCGAATCGATCATTAATTTATGTATGATCGATCAGAGTCTTATTGACAGAATACTTACACTCCTCGAGTGCGCGCTGCATGTCCTGGATCGAGTCCTTGGGCACCTTGAACTGCAGGGTGTGTGTGCCAAAGAAGCGGGCCACACGCTCCACCAGCAGAGAGTCGACCTCAGCCTCCCGGGACTCCACTTCCTCGGGCAGCTGGATATCGTTGAGTGATCGTCCCACGGGTATGTCGTCTGTCTTCACCAGAGCAATGCCCTCGGTCAACCTCACATCGCCGTTCTCCGTGTCGAAATAGTGCAGGGCGCGTTCCTATATGGCGGGGGAAGTGGTTGTGGAATTGTGTTAGCCTTCTGTCTGGGCCACGCTGTGGGTTAGGGCATTCGTTACCTTCATACACAATACCATCGATCGATCACCGCAGTCCTTGACCATTTTCAGGGCACTGGTCAGCAGACTGTCTGCCTCGGAGGCGGCTGCCGCCGTTGAGGCGATCAGCGCGAATAAGCACACAAACTTGAACATGATTGATTGGTTGATTAATTGATCAACTCAATTCACAAAAACACTTGACACACTGGCGGCGTTATCCTGTCTACTCGTACTCGTACTGTGCACTTCCTGTGAGTGCCTTTGCTGATTATTTGTTCACTTGAATGAATGCACTGCGCTCGATTGGCTTGTTCGATCTGTCGGTCAGAAGGCAACCGGTAAACTGTGGCTAGAAGACGCACGCGGATCGAGTTTTATTCCCGGCCAGCAGAGCAGCAGCAGCGCCGACAGCAGCAGCGACGACAACGACGCTGGAGACGATGTTGACGCTTTAGCGCGACGCTAGTGGACTCTCGGGTGTCCCTTGTCCCCCTCCCCCAACACTCGGCCAGTAATGGAGTCGGTAGCCGAGCTTAGAATTTAAATCACCAGCCCGACCCGACGGATACGAAGACGATGAGGCGCATCGGCTGCAGCCTGGACTGGCCGCAAAGCCATAGCCGAAGTGACTACCGAGATGCCCCCGACAAAGACGTCGCAGTCGTCGCAGCTGAAGTCGCAGTACATGCCAGCGGACGTCGGGCAGAGCTTCTTGTTGGCTCAGGCCTGGCTGTTTGTCAACGTACTTAGCCAGCAGTTAGCTATTTGCCTACCAGCACACACATGTATCATATGTATCGTAAAGGGGGGATATGTGAGAGCGATTGCTAATTGCTTTATGTATCTTTGATACAGATACACCTTCTCAGGCACCTTGATTTAACTCATGTGAAGGCAGACTTTAAGGCCTAATATTAGCCAGAGCAGACGCCAAAAGGTGCTGGTCATGGTTTCATTTCAAATTGCAAACACGTGACTGAAACTGCATTGAGGGGAGCTGGCACTAGAGAAGGGACGGCCCGTGCAAGCGGTGTTGGATGTGGAAGGCGGGGTGGAGTGGGAAGGGGAGGCTAATCAACAACACCATTTAAAATGGCGTCCATTGGTCGAAAGCAAGCGCATCAAGAGCCGCAGCTCAAATTGGAGTAAAATAGAAAATTAACTAGTTTGCAGGCGGCAGGCGGAGGCATGGTGGAAAAAATTTCACTTTAATTTTGCTTTTTATTTATGTGTTTGTTTTTGCCTCCACTCCAGCAAGTATCTCTCGCATAATGTATCTGCAGTTTTGTATGCCAATCCAATCGTCGACAGTTGCACAGTTGCCGCAGAAACATCAGCAGATACAAATACACAGAGTAGAAACACACACACACACCGCCAGATACAGATACAGATACAGATACACGAGATACACGAGAGTTTCATTGGCATTATGTCGCTTTAATTTGCAGCACTCGAAAATTGCCACACGTCGCGTGTGTTCGTCTTTTTCTGCCCGCTTAGCGCTTCTCGTTTCTCGCTTCATCGTTTTGCCGTGTAATTTACGCATTAGACAAGTGCCCCAAAAGAAAGCTACGCCTCGGATTTGCATGCTGTCCAATGGAAAATAAATCAATAGACAAATGTAAATGCAAAAGTCACTCAGCACTCCACAGTCCAGACGATTATCTGCAGCCAGCAGCATGAGTCCGAGCTCCAAATCCGGTGATGGAATATGCAAATGCCTTGCACGTGGACAAAGATGGATGGGACTTCCCTACCACAATACTTTCCTGAAGAGGAACTCTGATAGATGATTCTTCGTGTAGGGCATAATGCGGTCGACATGTTTCCCGAATTGAAATGAAAAAAATATATATATTTTACCCACGTGCGTGCGCAATGAAAGTGAAAAAGTCATTTTCATGAGCTTACAATTTTATTAAATTCAAGCTCTGCCACAGCGGGCATTGAGTTACGCAATGTCATTGGTCTATGGGAATTATCTGGGAATTAAGTTGGAGTTAAAAAATATAAAAAAGAAACGTTTGCTTTAAAGAGAGATGAAAATAAATGAACAATTTAATGCGAAAAGTAGATAGTCGACTTTGAATTCCGAAATTTATGATAATCTGACTACTTCACTCTAAGAAAAGAATGTGCTTTCAATCAAGTATGCTCAATTAATTCTCAATCAGCCTGTTCCTAAGTATATCCGCACTCTTGTCTGACCCAAATAGTCATGCGAAATTCACGCTTTGGGGAAAAAGTTTTGCCTAAAGCATCTCCTCTCACATTGATGCCCAACCGAAGGCAAACAATCAGCAGTGCGGCCCCACCCGCGACTGTCGCAACGAAACCCTTCTCAGTGGCATCTCCAAAATTGACACCTTTTTAAAGTTTCACTTTCATTCCGCATGGCTGACTGGGCCTGAGTCCGAATCCGAATTCCGGGTAGCTCCGTCTCCGTCTTCATCTCCGTCTCCATCTCCGTCTCCTGCTTCATCTTCACCTTCAGCTGCAGCCTCGGATACGTTGGTGTTTACATGGCGGGACTGTAATGCGCTTGAGTAATTTTCAATTAATGAAAGTCCCGTGCTTGTGACGTCAGTAGTCTCTAAGTAAATGTGGCTCCCACAACTAACTCTTGTATAGGCCCTGGAAAGCGCCAAGGGCAAGGCGCTGCTGCTCAGCAGCAGCAATGTCGTTAGCCAGGTTCAATGTTCTACTCGTACTCTGAGCAGCTCATTAATATTTCGTGCAGGGGCTCAAAAGTGAAATTGTCGCATACCTGAGAAGAAGAGGCAGGCCAGTGTTGGAGCTTATTTCATCTATGAATATTGCATTGGACTTTGAGTGAACGCAAACATGTGTAAATATGTATGTATAGCTGAATATATTCAATATGTATATGCATATGTGCATGGTAGAAAGCGAAGCAGCTCGTCTGCCATTTTTAGCACGCACGTAAGCACATATCATCGAAACTGTAATTGTTATCATAAATTTAAGTGCGTCCCGGTCAGGGAGTGGAGTGGCCCAAAAATTTACCGGGGTGCGGGAGTGCGTTTCGTGTAGCAGAATTTACTATATTTAATTAGCGCTTACTTAAACCTAACACACACATTTAGTTCGTTAAAATTAATAATCGATTAGACAAATTAAACTAGACATTAGTCAGACAGTTCGTGCGGCATCTTTTCTTTGGTTAGCTCAACTCTCGACCTCCAACTCTCTCCTCCAAATGCAAATGCAGGCCTATGCCTCGCCTGCTGCCGTGATGCTCGTGCGATGGCGGCCTACAAGCTCTTTGCGCTGCCCGCTTGCTGCTCTTTGGCTGGCTTCCAGCCGCTGTAGGCCATGTCGAAGTCACGTCCCCAGCCCGAGTGGCTGCCACCAGAGACGACGACCTCATGCGAAGACTCCTTGCCACCGCCGCCGCCACTGAGCAGTTTCTTGATGCCAATGATGGATGCGAGCACCAGAGCCAGTTTGGACACAATCAGCGCCTTGCCGGCCAGCATGGCCAAGGCGCCGTAGGCGATTGGCACAAATGTGCCGCCGAGGAGCAGAGGAATCATAATGTAGGCGCCATTGCCCTTTTTATCCTTTTTCTTGCGACCCTCCGCAGTGCTGCTGTCCGAGTCGCGCATGTCCGGAAACTTTACCTATTGGAAAAAGCATCCGACATCATAAGTAATCCCACTCCCTCTCTCGATCTGTCAACATCATGATCTCACCTGCAGCGTGTGGTCCTGGAGAAAGTTGCCTACCCGCTTGAAGATCATGCTGTTGAGAACCTGATCCTTGGCGTCCGTGCTGCGAGGCAGAACAGCCACAATGTCCTGCTCACTGATTGGCGGCAACTTGGCCCGCTTCTGCTCCTCACCGCCGCTGCCACTGCCAGAGCTAACGAACTGCACGCCCTCGAAGAGCGCCAGAGTTTTCGCCGAGCGAAAGACCTTCTCCAGGCCGGTCAACAGCTTGACCTTCAAGCAGACAGACATATTCTCGCCCGTGCATTGCTGGTAGATTCGGTAAACCAGCGACATGTCTTTCCAGAAGCCGGTGGGAGTGGATGCGGAGCTGGAGGCACTCGGCTGCGGCTGCGGCTGCGGCTTCTGCCCGACGCCGAGGCTGTTCAGACTCTGGTGTTGGTGCTGGTGCTGGTAGCTGGCGCTGCGAGCAGTTGACAGCCAGCAGAAGACAATCATGAGGGCTGCCACATGCCACACGTACTTGATCATGTCTGGGCTGGTGCTGGTGCTGGTGCTTGGGCCTGGTGTCTGTTAGATACTGGTGATGAGAAGCTGCTCCTTGGGCTATCCTTATGGATGAGGCACTGATGCACTGACGCAACTCGTCCAAACGGGGCACTGCACTTTTGATGTTCAACTGAGTGGTGGCAAGCCGATCGTATGCATTTTATACCGCCGCGGCGGTATAATTGCGCCTCGCATGTCAAGCGGCAGCTGAAATTGAAAAACATACTTTTTGTCTTAGTCTAAATATCACGGCAATTAGCCAGTTGGCGGGCGCTGGATGGCCAGTGGAGCTGCGCTTTCGTGATTTCGCTGCGAAAGCAACCAAAGTATCTGCTTGCAACCAGCCTCCAGCCTCCCGTTGGGAGCATTGCGGCGTTGTGGCGTTGCAGCGTTCATTCGCAATTATATTCAAAGTTGCAGCTCGTTCTATGAGAGAGCGTGCGTGATTTGCTGCCAGCTCTGGCGCTGCCAAGGCAGCAGTTCCTCGTGTAGTCGGCCTCCGTCTTTGTATCTCGCTCTCTTGGCGCCGCTTACTAGACCGCAACCATGCACACATTTTCGGTTTTTCAGTGTTTTATTGCAGCCATCATTCTGCAGATTCACTGTCGTCACCTAGTTTTCCGCAAAACTTTTCTTTTTTTCATACTTACTCAATTTTGCAGCTTCATATTGTGTACGTTTTGCTGCATACTTTTCGGTGCTCGCGGAAAAGTGCAACCGCCAAACGAACTTGATCCGATTCGATCCGACTTGACGAAACGAACAAAGAAAGCTTGAAACATTGACCACCAGCACAGCTTTCTTGGGAAAATATCGGAAGGTGGCGCTTTGCATAATTAAGGTGCTAATGAAAATGAATTGAAGTGATAACCAGTGGGCAAATGACGGAAAAGTTGTGGAAGAAAAGCTACAAATGGTTGATGTGAGTCGCACTGATCTGTGGCATCTTCCCACAGATAATTAGTTTGAATACCCCATTTTACAGAGAGTTCCATATGTTAGGATTCTTTTATACTATATTTTTGTGATATGATAGCAATGGCTTATTGCATTTCGACCATATATTAATACTATTGTTTTGTGTTTCGCCTTTTAATGAAGTTAAGAACTCTGGTTTTGGTGGAGGGCATTCAAATCTGCTGTGTTCCAATGTCCATTTCACAGAGCCTGCCAGCTTACTAATTTCAATTGTTTGAGGTGATATCTCCGGTGACAGTGCCCAGTGACGATTAATGGTTTCTTTTGCAATAACAATTGTCATAAACTTCGTGAAATCTTTATTAAATTCTTACCATTTTTGCTTAATTGCAATACAACCTAAGCGCCATAGACTGACCGCACTGAATCGCTTTTCATTTCATATTTAACTGGCAATCAAAGTCATCACGCAATATGCGCGATAACCATCGATGCGGCGATGCAACCGCTGACCGAACTGGCGACGACCGTTCGTCAATTATGGCCGATTGTTGCTAACCGCTATCTGTAGAGTATATCCGTAATCCGTAATGCAAATTGACCACTAACGACAGCAGCAGCTCTGCTTCAATACAAATCAGACAAACGCTTGAGTGACCAAACTGTTTCACAGCTCTGTGGATCTCTCGCGGACAATTAACTTTCAATTAATCATAGGCACTGGCGCCTAATAAATTAAATGCTCTGTGAGCAAAGCAACGTGAAGAACGGCAACACCAATTACAGAGCCATACAAAATATCATGCGTGTTGTGTGGCACGTTGTACGTACATTTTGTTGTTTTTTTTCGAGTGTGGGAAAAACGTGCTGGAGCGGAAAATTATAGCAGCTACATTCATTCAAAGCGCTTAATAATATTATTAGTCGAGCATTGGGAGGCTTTGGGGGGTCGGGCTTCGGGCTTCCCTTCCTCTGCTGTCTTTGTATTCTCGGGCTTTGTTCGAAAGCGCAGTGCAGCAAGGCCGACAATCAACTTTTTCTTCTGGACTTCGGTTGTCGGTTGTCTACGTTCTGCTGACCTGCTTTCTGAGCCAAAAACTCGTTTTCATTTCACTGAACATTCTGCGCACGACGCCGCCCTTGTAGGCATCCACTTGGCTTGAACAACCCCTCTCCGCCCCTGCTTACCATCCTCCCCCTCTCAGTTGACAGTGAAATTGCTTTCAAATTGGCCACTCTGCACGACTCTCCTCCTCCTGCTGCTGATGGTGCTGCTGCTGCTGCTGCTGTGGTCGTTGCATTAACTCTTCTTGTGTGTGCGAACATTGCGCTGCCGGCTTATGAATTATTGCAAATTTTGTGTGGTTTTTTATCTCGTTTTTCAGAATGTGAAATTGGTGGCCAACAACCAATGCAGCTGAGTTTGCTGCTGCTTCTGGTGATGATGCTGCACCAGTTTGGCTGCAACTGAAGAACCGCATTTCTCTAGCGGCACAACGGTTGTTCGCTCCAAATCACTTAGCAAGGCTTTCGTTTTGGTTTGTCGATTTGCATATACTGCCACCAGCCATTAACAAAATTTATTAGAATCGAAAATAGGCTGGGGCTCATTTCATTTGGATTAGAAACAAAGAAAGTAAACAATTATCAAATTAATGTTCGAAAATACCGTTCTGTAGTGGAACCAAATGGTTGGTTGGTTGATTCCAAAGCTGAAACGCTATCAAAATGGGATCTCGATCTCCCATGCGACCAATCCGTAAATAAACTTTCTTCTGCTATCTTTAAACAGCATTAATACAAGCCACCTTTAAGATGTCTCTAAATAGAGTGTACCCTAAGATTGTTTGTAATTTTTGTTGTTGTTGAGGCAGCTACGGCTCTGAACTGGTCAGTCAATGTTTGCCCAAGCTTGAAAGCTGCTCAAATGAGTTGTTAACATTAAATCGCATTACCTTGTCTTTTGTTTTTGACTCGACCATTCAGCGGCAGCCGCCGCATTGGCTTAGCGGTTGGAAAACGTTTTTCGGCTCTGGCCATGTGCCGTGATTTCGTTGGACTTTTCACTGCACGTTTTGTATTTGTTGGTGGCGATGTTTCTGGATTTTGGACTGTGGCCTTAGCTGCTGTTTCGGTTTCCTAACTGTTTACTTTCACTGTCGGTTGCTGCCACTGCGGCTGTCGCTGTCGAAAGCCAGCGGGGCACACTTTGCCGGGCAGCACTTTGTTGTATTTTTGTGTTAACCTGACTTGGCAAGACCAGACTCATAATTATCTACACCTATTAGCGGGCAAATCTTTATGAGGCCTGGGCAACTGGGTCGCAAATCAATTTCACTTGAAATGAAAGCATCTCGGACAAAGATGGACTTGTCAACGGCAACTTTTCGCGTTCGTCTTGGTCCCAGCCAATAGCCAATAGCCAATGGTCAGAGGGGTGCGTCTGAGGCTGGAGGGCGGGGAATTATGCATAATGGATTTCAGTTTTGTCGTTTCGCTTTCACCCGACCCGAGGGTATGCCATAAATTATATACAAAGCAAAGAGCTTGATTTTTCATTGATTTTTTATTTATTAATCTTCCTTGCTTGTATTTTTTTCAACTTGTTTTTTTTGTGTATTGTTTTTCTTCATTTTTTAATGACATGCATGTATGACAGAGAGAGAATATTGTAATCTATGAAATTTACATTCCTTTGTGCGTGATTTGTGTGATTTTGTGTGAGTTGGGTGTTGCCCACATCTGCAGCTTCTGCTGTGCGCTTCTTCTCCTTCCTCATCTTCTGTTGGAAGCTATAGTTGTGAAAGTGCCGTACGACTTTGCTCAAATATTTAAATTAAAGTAGCCGACATGCTGGCGACTCGAGGCTTGCGGCCTGCGGCTAGAGAGCTTTCCAAATGTTTTAAACAGAGTATTTTTAAGCGGATTAAAAATATGTTTAAGGCCACAATGTAGGAAAGCCCGGCGCAAACACACAGGCTCGGCAAGGGCTCAAGTCGCAGATGGATGTAGTAGTACAGGTGTACGATTGAGGAGTTAAGATATTAAAAAAAAAGTTAATATTTTTAACATTACAGTGAACTATGGTTACGGAAAACAGGTGTTCGTACGAGTATGTGCGTGCGTGTGCTTGTTGTTTTTGGAAAGTAGAGCGCCAGAAAGTGACAGATGCATAGGCACAAAGAGAGAGAGACAGACTGAGATAGCGAGATGAAGGTGCACAGAGAAATGAGAAAGTTGAAGAGTTAAAGTGGAATTGGAGTTTTGAGATGGAGTGAAGAAATACTATAGAGTTGAGCAGAGTTGGAAAATGAGTTCAGTTCGGTGTGGTACGTGTGTGTGTGTGTGGAAACCTATGGCAAGTTATGGCATGCAAATGACCAAAACTATGACTCAAGATCTAGATGGAAAGCCAGAAGAAAGAGAGAGAGAGAAAGAGATGGACAGCGTTGGAGGCGGAGAAGAAAGAACAGGTGTAGTGATAGTGGATAAAGTTAGAGCTAGTTGATAGTTGATAGAGTTAAAGCTAATAGTAGGTAGGCATTGTTGTTTCATTGATGCTGATTTTGTTGTATTTTAAGACTAGAATTGCATGTGAAGAATAGTTGATAGTCGAGCAAGTAGCAGTACGGGTACAGGCACAGGTACAGGTACAGGTTAGAGAAGTACATATAGAGTTAAGTATAGTTTTCAGATTTGTACGTTTGTTTTGGTATAGGCAGTGATAGACAGTGATAGTCTGAAAGACAGAGTTTGACAGAGACAGTTACAGATACAGATACAGATACAGAAATAGAAATAGAGATAGAAACATAGACAGTGATAGTCAGAAAGTGATAGAAAGTAAGTCAGATGAGAGTGATAGTGAGAGTGAAAGTGCGCTGGAGTGAAACAGGGTTAAAAAGAGTTACAGTTCGATTGTCAACCTGTCTGAGGTCCTTCCAGGGCGCTGATGATGGAGAGAGAATGAGAATGTAAGCTGGGTGCTGGTGCAAGCTTAGACTTAAGGCTGGACGCCGCTGGGCTTATGAGTATTGGAGATGTGTTTTTGTTGCATAAGGTACCGACCGACTTCTTTTTTACAATCTTATCGTTAGCTTTATCAGCTATCATGGGGATATACATAACAACTAGATGCACATGTAACACTCGGCATTACAAACCTAACGTGGCTCTGGTTTAGCTTCTGCTTCTTCTACTGCTTGTGATTCTTCTTCTCTTTTCGCTACGATGTCGCTTTGTCTTTGTTTTTTTTACATATTTCTGTTTCATTTTATCTGCTTAAATTGATTTTGCTTGCGTTTTTTGTGCGTTTTTCATTCTTTGCTTTTGCTTTCTTCGTGTTTGCGTGGAGAAATAAATAAAATAAATTAAATTAATAAATTAATTAAAACGAACGATAAATAATATGTTTCTCCTCTTCAAGAGTCTCTTACGAGCGCTGTGGCTCAAGTCGTTTGTGATGTTCTTCTTGTGAATGTGGTTGTTGATTGTGGTTGCTTCAGATTGTTCAGGTTCTCGCTGATGTCGCTGACTGTCTGTCCAACTTAAGCCTGGGGCTTCTGGGCACCGTAGGCCAGATCCTGGGCATCGATGGAGCGTCCCCAGCCACCATGACCGCTGCTGCCGTACGAGGCAGAGGAGGCGCCCGCATCGGCGCTGTAGCCGCTGCCGTAGGAGTCGTGGCTGGCCGAGTGGCTGCTGCTGTGATGGGGATGGGCGACGACCTCGTAGGTGACGTGCTTCTCCTGGGAGAGCAGCTTCTTCAGGCCGATCACGGCGGAGAGAACCAGAGCGATCTTACCGATGAGCAGGGCCTTGCCGGCGATCAGAGCGATGGCACCAAGGAGCAGGGGAAGCAGAGCGGCGGCCTTCAGGGCAACCAGAGCCAGAATGGGGCCAAGGATCTTGGCGGCCTTCTTCTTCTTGCCACGGCTCTCTTCGGGAGCGTTGGGGTCGTTGCTGCCGAACAGGGACTCGGAGGCATCCTCGAGGGCGCGTCCGGTAGAGCTGACGGCCTGGACAATGTCGGCGCCCTTCAGCTCAACCTTAATGGTGTGCGAGTTGAGGAAGCTGCTGATACGGTTGAGGGCCAAAGACTCGAACGACTCGTCTCCAGAGATGGAGCGAGCAGCCTCCTGCGCTGGGGCATCAGGGGAGCGCACAACGGTCACACCTTCGGTGAGGGCGAACTGGTCGCGGGCACCGAGCACCTTGTCCACGAAGTTGAACAGCTTGTACTTGACGCACGACACCGAATCCTTCCTCAGGCAGTCGCTGTAGATGCTATCCATAATGTCGTTCTCGCCGCCGATTGCGTTGCGGGCATGGCCGCGCGTCTCCTCGGCCGGAAGGGCCGCGGCCAGTGTGACCAAACACAAGACACCGAATATAACTTTATTGTTTGCCATTTTGTTCTTTTTCGGCTTTTTTTTTGCACTTGGGTTCGTTTTGTTGTTGTTGTTTATAGTCCTTCGAGGGCTGTGCACTTAATCGGGTTTGGCTACCGCACGAACGCACTTTCTCTTTGAAATTGAAACTTTTTGGGTTTTGGGGCGTGCCACACAACTCTGCTAGCTGGCGTGCTGCTGCTTTGACGGGTAAGGATGAAATGATACAATTTTCCTAGGCACACGGCAATTTATATACGGCGGCAGTGGCAGTGGCAGCAGCGACTGTAGCTGGAACAGCGGCAGAGGCATGCTCATCTGCTGCTGCCCCGAACGAAAGCATTTCTCCATGCCGCCGCTCTATGCTCTCTGCTCACCGCTCTCCGCTCTCTTCCCGACCAAGAAACTAGTCGTACAAGTTTCTCGCTTCAGTCTTTCGTTTTGCCCAGCCAACGGTAATGCTCAGTCGACGCCGACATCGCACGAGCAGCCACGACAGCGACAGCGGCAGCGGCAGCAACAGCGGCAGAATCTTTGACTTGGAAAAGCATTGTTACTGTAATTTGTAAGCCGTCTCTGCCGCAGCGCTGCTTTCGCCTGAAGTTCATGTAACATTGTCAACAGGCACTGCCGCTGCCACAGCCACAGCCACAGCCACAGCCTCCTGCCTGCCTGTGGGAACGCAAGTCACTTTTACTCGGCCAAAAGCGAGCCAAAAAGAGCCGAAAAATCGTAGTCGTAATCTTAATTGTCTTCTCTTTAATTGAAATTGAATTTTTGTAAAAGTAAATAAAAGCATTTCCCTTTCATCATCAGCAGTCGCAGCAGGCGCAGTAGTGGCACCGGAGGCACTCTGCGAGGCATACGAGTGGCAGGAGCAGGTGATGAAGCCGTTGCAGGTGCAGCTGCCTGCTGATGTTCTATGTTCAGTGGTCACCGCCTCCTCTTAAGCCCGTTAGAACTCACTCACGTAACATAAAAAAACGAGCACGTTCTGACAGTTGGAAATCTATGCCACACGCCACAAGAAATGAGATCCACTGCACTCCACCAGCACCGTTGGCCAGGGGCAGTACCTCTGACAGTGCCGGTGCCGGTGACAGTGCCAATAATAATAATCATAACCTCATTCAGAAAAGGGAAAGTTTTGCGATACATCTCTGAAGTATGTGGTATGTGGTTTGCTTTGCCCTTTCTTGTGGTGGCTCTCGCATATTGTTGTTTCTGTTTTTTTTGTTGCACACGAAATGGTGTGCAAATTTTATGCGTTGTCAAAGAAGAAACGGCTCAAGCAAATAACTGAAGCTGGCTAACAGGCTGACTGGCTGGCTGGGCTGGTTGGCAAACTATCTCGCTAAGTTATTGACTAAAAAGTCAACCAACTGTCAAACACCAGTAGCAAGGCCCCGGGCTGTCTGTCCCAGCAGCCAGCAAGAGTGACTAACTAACTGGATGCGACAAGTAAAAGTACGCAAATAGACAGCCAGGAGCCATTCGCCAGTGGGGTCGGGATCCCAAACAAATGAAAGTCATCAGCCCAGCGGCGAGAGAGTTTTGCCAAATATCTGGGCAAATGACCGCGAGCAGGATACAAATGCCGGTATGCCGGGCCTGGCTGGCCCCAAGAAAGTGTTGAAAATAGTTAATTAAAGTGTTATGAATGTGTGAAAACGCAATAAAAATGCGCTTATGAATTGGACTCGGACTCGGCAGCCAGAGCAGCAGACAAGCCACCAAGCCACCAAGCACCAAGCACCAAGCGGCGTGAAAACGCTTTTCCAGATCAGCCAAAGCCCAGCTTTGAGGCAGAGCTGGCCTCAGTGAAAGCGAATTTCATATGCATCTGGTGGCTGGTCCTACTAGCTGGTGACTGGCTGGGGGCGACGGCCAGCGGGGGCTTCCACGCATTGCGTGAGGCTCCTCCAGCTTATAGTAGTACTCGTTTGTATATAGGGATGCAAATCTGCGAGACACTGAATGTTGAATTATTTGACATTTAATTAAATTTTGTAAGAGTGTGCCGCGAAACATGAGAAACGACACTTTCACTGCATTGGCATGGGCCGCGGAAAACCTCTCACCCCGGCCATGCCACACAGCCACACAGCCATGCCCATGCCCCAAGTGAGATGCACCAGAGTGCATCTCCAGAGTGCAACGGATCGACATTTGACGACGCCTGTGAACCGCTTTTGGGTTCTATTGTTGTGGCCCAGCCATTTCAACAGGTTATGTTTTTGCTTTTGTCTGGAGTCTGAAGAAAAATGAAGAGTAAACTCATAACAGCCCAACGAGTTCCAGCTGCAAGACCATAAAAACCCAAAATGTGGCTGTGAACATAACAATAAGAGCTGCAGAGTGGCGCTGAAATATATATGTATATATAAGTACACATATATTTTATTTATATCGCAGTTGTTGCTGGTGCCGACACTGCCACTGCCACAGAGGAGGCTGCTGCAGCATCCAGCAGTACACAAAAAAAGAAAGTTCAGCTTAAATTTTTCTTCTTTTTTACCAAAGACAACAACATTCGCTGCCTTTGCGAGCGAAGAGCGAGGCGACCGTGGTGACGCGTGCAACATTGCAACTCGAAAATATAAGCTAACAAACGGCATGAATGAATGACGAAGTGAGTGCCGGACCTAGCACTCCCGATTGCCATTCCCATGGCCATGGCCATTACGAGTGCCACTGAGTGGGTGTTGACACTCGCAGTCCCATACCGACAAGACAACAATAGCAGCAGCCCATGAATACCAATGTCAATGATAAGACGGATGCCCCTGCAGTCAATCACAGGGTGAAAACGCAAAACAAACTGCAACTGCAACTGCAACTGCCACTTAATAGCTTCATTTTGAACTTGCGACCGCAATGAAAAGAGGCAAGTGGGCGTTTCTTTCTTTTTCTTTGGCCCAGTTAAGGGCAAAAAGACAAAGATCAGATAAGCGGAAATTATCTTCGCTGGGACTGCGAAGATTGGTTACTCTTAAAATTTGTTCATAGTGAAATTTTGGAGTTCTTTCAATTAAAATAATACACATTTTAGGATATTCACTCATCAAAGTAGAATCTTAAACGGGTAAAGATTTTATAAATATTTATTTAAAAAAAAAATATTAATTACATTTATAACAATTTAAAAACCATAAAATATCTCAAAATTTCCCATTTAAATTTAAGAGTAATTGATTTTCTTTCTTCTATTTACGGCTCTGCAAATATGAGAATTTCTTTGAGCCAGGGCCTGATGCCACAGTCATAATGCCCACTCTCCGGCTGGCTGGCTGTCCAGTGCTGCAGCCAGAGAGCTGCAAGCTCACTCTTGCTCATTTATGACTACTTTTACCGTCAACTGGCAGTTCGTCTAATTGGGAGTTTGAGTTTTTTTTTTTGCTTAGCTACCCTGTGTCATGGGAACCAACAGGCGCAGGGAAAGGTCAGCCAGCGCGACCGACTGCAGCACAGGCAGACGAAAATTAGCGGCTTGTGTTGTAATCATTTAGCTCGAAAACCTGCCACGCCCATTAGCATAACCGTTGTTTTTAGCACACCTGGCAACCTGGTCGAAGATACAAATTATAAATGCACGAATCGGGTATGTAATCTGTGGCATCACTTTCACTTTCCATGACGCCCCAACGCCGTCCAGCTTCCAAATAGAAAACCCATGACGAACCAAAAACAAAACGTTTATGGATATGGCTGAAATCTAAAATTATCTAATTCAACAAACTCTACCAAAAATTTACAGCTACTCGTATTTCGATGCTACGGTGACGGTGTCGATGTCGATACCGTCTATTGCAAAATCAAAGCACGGACCAAGGCTTTTTCCTAGACTTTACACGGGGTATACAAAATATATCAGGGGATATTGACACTCTCCAGCATACACCCAAAGAAAAATGTCATAACCAAACGAAACTCAACATATTTCACTTAAACATAGGGTTTTGAAATACAAACATAGAGAACATATGTTTAATAAAAAAAGTATCTTTAATAGGGTTCTTAGTTAATATTAAAATATATATTGCATTTGTAGAACAAATACTTGGTCTAAATATGATTATATTTAGCTAAAAATTATATATATTTTTTCAGCTGGGCGTTCATACATTAAATAATTTTCTGTAAAATCGCCACTGTCATCGCTGCAATCAGCGGTTTGACGGTTTGAAAACACACACATTTTTGTGGTTATAAAGTTGAGCGGTTATCAATAGGGTATGTGCTGTTCGTGTTTTGCTGGTGTACCGTTGCTAGTTTATTGCTGCACTTATTTAATAATTTATTAGCGTTGTTTTTCTTTCCATTTTTATGTAATTTCTCTGGCGTTAAATGACGTTCATATTGAATAAATGATGGCCAAGTGTAAGCAAATGATGGCGCAATATCAGGCAAGGGAAGCTGGAGCTCCGCTGCCGCCGCCGCCAACATTAAAATGCTTATATAATGCGTGAAAAACTTTTATGGCATACGAGTGCAGTTACTCGCTGAAATTTTGTACAGAAATTCACACTGGGACCGCACCGCAATCGCTTTCTTTCGAAAGAGAAAGGATTTCACTTCTCATCAAGCGTCATGCCCACCCTGGCTGCCTTCCTGCCTTGCTGCCTTCCTCCTTGACTTTGAGTGCCTTTCCGGCATGAGAAGTTTGCCGAAATTGCAGTTTTCATGGCCCGATATCTGCCGGTGCGGCGCACGTGTGCTCTGCCCCAAGCTCCAAGCCCTTTCGCTTTTTCTGGAGGATAACTTTGGAGCTCGACAGCTTCCGCAACTTTCACGCAATTGCTGCAGCAGCATCGGCATCTCTACTACTACCAAGGGCGTGGTGCTGGATGCTCGGTGCCCCACTTTGCAGCATAAATAATGCAACGTTTCGGTGGTCCCGGGCCCGGGCCCGGGGGCAATCTTTGCGGACTGGGGACTGGGGACTGGAGACTGGAGACTGGGGAGAGCGTATGATCGTCGAGTGATGGGTCTGATGTCGATCTGTTGGCCGTTCAGTGCATTCTTTAAAGTGAAATTTCT